TGTTCCCACAGATATTGATCGGCAAAATTATTCCACCCCCTTCTAGTATACCATTGTTTCACCACGAATCCTTCACACTTATTCTAATGTCGCCCTGACCCTTCACTTTTTCACGCCTATTCACCACTACTTTTTTCTCAACCCTTCACCTTTTTTCACACTGTTTCACCATTGTTGTTGCCTTAACCCGTTTCACTACTATTGACTCTTCATTGTTTCTTATTTTCCCGTTCCTATTGTTGTAACACCATTGCGCTGAACGAAATAATGTGCATATTGTTTCCATTCCGTTTGCGATGACATGCATCGTGAGGGCCATCAGTGTGCAAAGGGATTTTTTAGGAAACGATTGTAGGGTGGTACCTTTGAAGAAGTATACATAAGGTGGGGGTTTTTTTTGCTCGTGTTTTTCTTTCTTAGTGTGGGAGGAGATATAGGAAGCAGATATTTTGGTCATGGTTTATATTTTTTTATTTCTTTTCAAATTTTCATTTACTTGTTCTGCTCTCTTTTTTTATTTTGGTTCTTTTCTTTCTTCATTATTATGTTGTTTGCTTTTTTGATTGGTTTTGGTTTTAGTTCCCCTATTGGTTTTGGTTTTTGTTCCCCTTAGTCAGAATCAATTTTTCTCTTTTTTTTCTTGTCTGGTTGTTGAGAAAATGTGATTTTTTTTGTTAAACTTTGTTTGGTTGTTGAAAATTATAATTTCTTTTTATTTGGTTGATGAGAAAGTGTGATTTTTTTGTTATATGAAGATATTAGTTTGTTTGAGAAATTTTTTGGTGCTAAAATATAATCAATGATCCCAAATAAATGTAGTCACTTTTATGATTGCATATGTTTGGCTGCTGAGAAGATGAGAGTAAAGGTAATGTTTTTCGAGTTATTGAATAATTGATTTCTTTGAGGAGTTTATTTCATGCTAAATTGTGACTATGGACCAATTTATGAGAGATGTGTAACGTTTTGGCTTATAGCACAATTAAAAGCCTATGTAAAGAACAAGGCATGATTGAAAGGGAAGAAGGTTACCTAATGCAAGAGATTCTTACATTTTGCATGTTGATTTGTATTTGAAGTTAAATTTTCGTATTTGTTTGTTATCATTAAAACTTTTATTGACGTGATATTTTTGATTAATTTGTCTTGAGTGTATTAGTTTCACACAATCCATTTTTTAAAAATAAAAATAAAATACACCATGGTAACTTCTAATGGCAAGCATTGTTTCATATGTTGCCCACGCTTGCATTCTCCCCTCCCTGTGCCATTCACATGTTACCAATCAATGAGACTTGGCTATGCATTCAAGCACAAAATGCAAACACCAACTTATCTTTATAGGCATATCAGTTTATGAACTAGTTGATGTGAAACTATGAATCACACATGTATATATAAACTTGTGACAAATATGATATTTTTATATAATTGTATGACATATATCTATTTACAAATAAGAAACTTGTTTGTAATTATTTTGCCATTAGAAATTAGGAATTTGAAACTTTTCATCCTTATTTGAGTAAGAATCGAGGGCTTTTTCACCCTTATAACTTTTTATTAATAATTAATTACCAAATTGACCTTCATTATAAACTATTTCAAAAATTTAACCCCCTCAAAAAACATAACACCAATCTGCCCCTGTTTGACCGTTGACCAGCAAGCCTACCCGAGTACACCCCTCCCTACCCGGGTATTTTTTGAAAATTTTTGCCTACCCGGGTAAGGAGGGGTGTACCCGGGTATTGTTCTTGACACCTAAAAAATTGTTTGAATTATTTACCCGGGTAGGTAAGGATGTACCCGGGTAAATCTCCACTGCACACTCTAAATAGAGCTTCCCCACACCATAAGTAGTCCACACCCACTCGCTGCCCACTAGCATCTCATTCCCAAGTTTCCTTCTTTTTTTCGTCTCTGTGTTGTTCGTTAATTCTCTTATTCTTTTCAGTGTCAAAAAAAAGAAAAAGAAAAGGAATGGCTTTGTTCAGTAGCGTGCTATGCATTGCGTCACTTATCTCCCTGATGTGGATGGTTGAGGCTCGAATTCCAGGGGTTTACAATGGAGATTTACCCGGCTACATCCTTACCTACCCGGGTAAATAATTTAAACAATTTTTCAGGTGCCAAGAACAATACCCGGGTACACCCCTCCTTACCCGGGTAGGCAAAAAATTTCAAAAAATACCCGGGTAGGGAGGGGTGTACCCGGGTAGGCTTGCTGGTCAACGGTCAAACAATGGCAGATTAGTGTTATGTTTTTTGAGGGAGTTAAATTTTTAAAATAGTTTATAATGAAGGTCAATTAAGTAATTAATTATTAGTAAAGGGTTATAAGAGTCAAAAAACCAAGAATCGAGTCAATCATAGCTTATTGAAATTAGGGTTTTGAAACTTATACTAGTGTTTAGATGTATGTTACCCTTATTCAAAGAAGTTATGTCTTACTCAATTTTGACCCAGTGAATGTATTTTGTGTATGGATGGAAAGTTTGAATTTTTTTACATTCTAATGGTAAAAGATTCACAAACAAAATCCATAAATGCAAAGCGATATATGTTACTCGAATATGTCAAAAAATCATGTTTGTCACTCGTTTATTGTGTGCGTATGTGTTGTGAGAAATTCCACATCAACCAGTCCATGATATTAATATGCTTAATTATAAAAATAAACTACTATTTATAGTATAAGTGTCTGGTTTTTTTAAAATGGGCAATTTTAGTTTACGTGTGAGGCCTTCTACAAAAAGTCCTATCCTGATAAATTTTTTTATAATTTTTTATTAATGTGATCAATCAACCCATTTAATTGTATTTTTTTAAATTTTATTCCTTTTTAACAAATGAAATGTGTTATTTTTAACATTTTTTAATACTATGTTAATCAACCTATTAAATTATGAGTGGCTCTTTTTAATTTTACTCTTATCTAATAAATGACACATGTTTTTTTTTTACTTTTAAATGGCATTTTTTTTTGTTTACCAAAAAAAATTGCATGCTGTTTTCGATAACTTTTTTTTATTAATGTGGTCAATCAACCTATTTAATTATAAGAAAATATTTTTGATTTTGTTCCTTTTTAAGAAATGACATATGGTATTCTTTATTATATTTATTTTTAAATGGTCAAAATCACATTGCTTCAAAGCATGAGCGAGAAGAGGAGAAAAGCTTCAATGTAGGAGCATCGAACTTGGTGTTCTTTTTTACTAAATAAATTTTGTTTATAGGACTTAAAAAAATATATAATAAAAAACAAAGTGAATTTTTTTCATATTTAGTAAAAGAGAACATTAAATTCGGTGCCCTCGGTACATTGAAATTTTTCTCCAAAAAGAGCTCTTGGCATAATGGCATGTGATTCTCAAAATGTTGCCTCTTTTTTTTTTGTAAGTTACAACAAAATGTTGCCTCTTGGCATAAATAATTTTTTTTTTTAAATATAAGATGATGATAGTCCACATGACGAATTGTAAAGTGTCATATGTATAAACATTCATATTTTTTCGAGAGTAAGAGAAAAACAAAATATTAATGAGAATGGATCTTTTTATATGTTAATTAACATGATTTTGTTATTTGGAAAAATTATAATTATATGAGAGTGAATTAATAATAATAATAAAAGAGAGACAAAAATATAAGAATTCAAGTATTAATGATTAAGATCCTTTCATATAACATAATCATATTAAATTACATATGTGACAATCCATTTCCAAAACTAACTATAACAAAGTCATTCTAACCATATTCCTGCCAAATCATACTATAAAAAGCAAGACGACCCTACGTGGATTCTCAAAATACAAAATATCCCGATCGCGCGTGTGTGAGCTTGTCGCGTGCTACTCAACTTAAATGTGGCCTTCCCAATAGGTGGTGCAAGACTTGACCTTTTCAAGGTCTACGAATCATCTCTCTAATCCTCTGTAGTCTGCATCATAGGTGATCTGTGAATGAGGATGATTACTAGCGTATTCTTGGGTGATAAATCCCTTGACTACTTGAGAATCACACTCTAACCATATTTGCTTTAACCTAAGTTCTAAGCTAGCTTGAGGCTCGAAAGAGACTTGTAATTTTGCATAGAATTTTTATTTTTGACTTGGAAATCAAGTCATTCCAGTGTAGGAGGTTGTCCGTAACATTCAAATTATATGCAATACAAGCTTCTATTTAAGGATTTAATGTTTCTTTTATCCTATAACATAAAATTACTTTTTGTGACTCCAAACTAATATTATTTTAAAATCGGAAAAATATTTTTTATAATTTTAATTTTGTCAAGGTTATATTATATTAGCCTTTATTGTGTCATTTGATTAGTATAGATTATTTCAAATCCAACTTATCCTTATAATCGAGGACTATTTTAAAAAATCTTAATAATTTCGAATTATGACAAATATAAAATATTTCTTAGTATTTCAGTTTATTCTCAATTCAAAATGAAACATGAAATTGTATATTATTTAAAAAATTATTTATAATTTTTATCATTTATATTTAAAAATATAATTGAAGTTATAAGGATGAACTCAAGTTTACTATAAAATAAAAAATACGTAATTTGAACTATATTAAGATTTACAACTGTAAGGATTAAGCCTTATTTCAAGATTACCGCAACTCTGAAATTCCATTAAATAATTATTATACTGACCCACAAAATGCATCTCTTAAAAAAATAAAGTAATCATATTTAAAAAAGATCACTTAAAAATTATATTCAGAAAATAAATAAATTCTAGAAGCAGGAGAAGATATGGATGAGAATTGGGAAAGAAAAAAAAAAAAGGAAAATTTTAAAAAATGAAACAGTAACACTTCAAAAGACAAGTCAGCGTGCAAGGACGGTCCAATGAGAACAAGGCTGTGACGAAAGTAAGACGTGAGGCGGTTAAGTTTATCAAACCCCTGGTGTGAATCTTGCATGGGTTTACTTGGAAAAGGGGTAGTGGGAGTTGCAGAATCTAAAGAAGGAAACATCTCAATTATCAGCTTCCTTTTCAGGCGTTGTTTGCTCCTCCCATTTGCCGACTCCTCCAATTAGGGTTTTTTTCTTTCAGCGAAGAACTGTCTATATAATACCCTCCTCCCCCTCCTCCCAAATCGATGCACAAGAGAAATTGAAAATAAAGAAAAAAATAACGATGTTAAAGATTTCTATGTGGTAAATAGGTAACTCTATTGTTTTGTGTGTTTGCGCACTCAGGTAATTTCAAAACCTGCTCTTGATTCCTTGATTTCTTTTATTCTATGCTTTTCGATTCACAATTTGAATAATTGCGATTTCCACTGTTCTAAAAATTTCGCACGTCTTATTGACTTTTAGATTTGGGGCTTGGATTTAGTAGATCGGGGTAGATTTTGGTTGTACGTGGTGTTTGAACCGATCATGCTAGTTTTTTCATCATTTTTTGGGGCCGATTATGCTATTCGAAATGATTTTGATAGAGCATGGATTTTTTTTTTGGCTATGTTTTAATATGTTGATTGTCTTTGGTTGTGGTTGTTGACCGCTACAGCCTTGTTTTAATTTGTTGATATTGCATATGTATATATATATTTTAATTTTTATGAATTTTTATATTATTAATTTCCATCGCAGAGCTATTTCAGGGAAAAGCATGTACACTATGAACACTAACAGCTGTGCGGGGTATGCAAAACTTTATTTGTATGTGCCTTTTGTTGATTTTGCTGTATTTTTTAATTTAGTGTGATTTGTGATATTCTTGATGTTTTAGTTGGTCTGATTATGCCTAATTCTTTGATTTCAAGCACTAGTAGTACTAGTTTGGTTGTAATGCTATGTGTAGCCCTGTCATGGAGAGTGAAGATTTCAATGATGTCTTAGAGAGTCGGAACTAGATTTCCTCAAATGTTGCTTTAGATTCTACCATATATGGGCAAGGTTGTAACTTGTATATCGTGCATAGTCATCAGGTGTTTATTTCATAGGACTTCCAGGGAGCATATGTAGAGTTGAAGCTAGGGATTTAGTTTGTTGTAAAGCTGGTGCCATGGAAGTCAACTTCAGCCTACGTTATGAGTTTATGTGTACTGTTTTGGCAGGAATTTAAAATAATAAACCCAGTTTCCTGTTGGAATTGAGATTATTATTATTATTATTACTATTTTATTTTCTTGGTCATGGTAGTCAAAATCGTGACCTAAATCCTTGGATCGTACTAATGAGTTTTTCCACCGTGAACGATCCAACTAGAATCGTGAATCACTGGGATTGCAAAGGATCACTGAAAAAGCATAAACCCCGTGGCACCGTGCAATCTCATCATTACATACAATTCGCGAAAAGGAGAACCCTTGTTTGTGTTAAGACACGAACCTGTTATAAATCTAACCTACTTCCTTCTCTCGGAGGCTGAAGGGTGCAGCGGCCATGGAGCGGGCAACAATGGACGACTTGAAATTGAGCTGAGGTTGCTGAATAATTAGCCGAGCAACATAAGAAGCAAAACACTGCTGTTTATTCCATGAAGTGAAGGAGGAAGAAGAGGATTGGGGGAGATGGTGGCATGTGGCAGAAGGTGATCTTGATGGGGGACAAGTGTGAGCCGTTGGATTTGTTGGGTGTAATTTACTACGAGAAAAATGTACTATTTTCTTACTACGAAATAGTGTACTACAAGCCATTGAACAAGTGAAAGCTGCCATTGCTTTGTTTTCTTTTTTCTTTTTGGCAAAGTTATCAAATGCGGATTGCGGCATGTCGCGGCTAACCCTGAAAAATGCTATAGCATTATTGCAGGTTGCGGTTGCGGAAATAGCAGAATAGATATATGATAGAAATAATGACAAAAAAAAAAATTTTTTTTAAAGGCAGAGATAGCAAAAGTGACAGAGAGAGATGCAAACACATTAAAAAACTCCTAAAAAATTTCTGTTACACATTTAAATTTAGGACAAAATTGACATTTTGCCTTATGATAGCAATATGGCCGCGATTTGGCCGCAAATGCGATCGCAATGGCCACTATTGCGCTCCGATGGGGCGCAACGTAGTTTCTTGCGGCGAGACACCCGAACGTCCATATGGCGCGGCTCGCAGCGCTATTAACTACTATGCTTTTTGGAAAAAGTGTACTGGTTTAAATTGGAGAAGTTGGGGGGAGTGTTTGGAGTTTTTTCTTAGAGCTTTTTGAGTAATAATACATAATATCACAATTTTCCCCCCTTTTAGTAAGGAATATTTATATTCTATATTATAAAAATAAATAAGTAAGATATAAAATGTTGAGAGAGAGGTAAAATACATAAGCATGTGAAATAAATTGTAACAAAGAAAAGATAAATAAATATACAAATGTGAGGAACTCAGGAAAGCATGAAAACTATTTGTTTTGATTTATGTCTTTTATATTTGAAGTTGTTAATTAAATTTTAGTTGTAATTAGAAGGTTATTTTTTTATTCAAGTTATTTTATATGCATGGATGTGTATATATGTATATTTATATGTGTATATATATGTGTGTGTATTCGTTTTAAGTATAATTTTATTTTCCAAAGAGGGCGAGCCCGAAGCAGTAGTAAAGCCTTTCCTTTGTGAATGAAAGGTCATGGGGTTTGAATCTAGGAAACAACCTTTTTGCATTTGTGTAAGGGTAAGACTGTGTACAAAGATTGCCCTCGCCCCACCCTCGCTAGTCGGGATGTCGGGGTTTAATGGGGAGTGGTTTATAATATTATTTCTCGGGTAGGATCTTTACGATCCGTGTCAATCCCACTATGTATGATTTTTTCTCCCTCTTCCGATCCTTGGTAGGATCTCTATTTTGACTACCGTACCCCTGGTTATGGTTATCTATTTATCATTCATTCTATACAATTTGGTTATTTTTAGATCTCTTGGGCAAATGAGATTTCGTAATTTATTTAGTTTCCTTTTTTCATTAGTATTTGTTCTTATTTGTTATTTGTTACTGCATACAGCAAGCATGCTATTAGAATTCCTCCATTGAAGGAAAATGGAAGAAAGTGAAAGAAAATAGGAGAGAGACTTGAGAGAAAATAGCCATTGTGTTATTGTATTTCTAAGAGAATGAATCGAATACAAAGGGAGAGAGAACAAGCTATATATAGAGCAAGAGGCTGGCTCAGAGATGAGTCAGCAAAGCTAACAAACTTAAAACTGAATCTGAACAAACTAACTAATTACAAAGGCTAGCAATAATCAGCTGCTACATATACAAGGAAAGTATCCTACTACAAGCAAGCTAAAGCTAATTATATAAGCTAAAGCTAACTACATCTAATACATGCATGGTTCATGAACCGCTTTTTAGGAGCATTTGTAGAATTGCAATACAAAGAGTACATTTTTTGGTGTACATTTTTTTAGCCGAAAGGTTATCACATCGCAATTTAAATCTTGAATTGCCAAGCTAATTTTGGAATAATGAATTGTAAATCGTAAGATTCAGAAACACAACGAAAAATAGCTTGAAATATATCATATAATTGATGTATAATGCTCAATGTAATAATTTTAAACTAAGAATTAGGTATTGACTAAACAACTTAACCACAAGTCTAAAAAAATCATAAGTCATAGTCATAATTGAATCACATAAAGTGACTACTTGAAGCTTATGCTTTAAAAGAACGAGCCAAATAAGGTGCATCTGGAGTAAGCTAGTAACTGTGTGAAGTGTTTGTTTTAGAAGAATGAAAACACAAAGCAATGGAATAGCCATATAAAGATCCATAGTGTGTGTGTGTAAAACCCTAATATTAGAAGAATGAAAACAGTACAGTAGAGTAATCAAATGGAGTACATTCAATAACATTCCTTTAGTTCCTTTTGATTAAACTACTTAAGCTTATTTGAATTTTTTATTTTATTTATATAAAATTGGTGAAAGAAAAGAAAAAAATTAATGAATAGCTGAATCATGCGATTCGTTTCAGTGATACAGAATCACACCGATTCACACGAGTATTGCACGATTTAAAGCCATCTTCGATTCATCAGATGCCACAAATCGTTGGCTTGGAAAATTGTATCGAATTGTGTGATTCGAATTGCGAATCATGCGATTTATACACCTGTGCTTAGCTGTATTCTCAAATTAAATATATCCTCTGAACTTGTATCTTGGGGTTTTGCTGTCTTTGGCCTCATGACGAGCAAGTGTCATTAAATAGTTGAGAAATGCTTGCTGTAGAATTGAATAAACATTGCTTAGAATGATTGACATTATCTTGTTCATTGAAATTGTTTTCTTTAAAGCTTTTTAAGTTTAACGTACTGTATTTGAATGTTGTTGATTATCTTTTGGTGTATTTTATCAATATGATACTTTATTTAAATTTTAATCTTCTTGGAGATAGTACTTTTGCAATAATTCACTTGTGCAAGTGTTTCAGATACTTGTTTTGTCATACTGGGACTGCTTTCTATGTTTTAACTCCTTATTCTTTATTAAGTCAACTTTATAATGATGAGCGCCTGATCCTATTTATTAGTTCAATATTCTCAGAAGTTTTAATTATCCAGGGACTGCCAAATATTCTTGATGTCCTGGTCTACACCATTGCAGCCACTGTTTCTTTAAATCTGCTCAAGGTTTAGGGTTCTATTTGACTGCTGTATCTGAGCTTTTACATATAAGTGTGTTTATAGATATTGATCTAGTAGATAGAAATGGAAGCAAAAACCGCAAAGGCATTGGATAGGGTTGCACTAAATCTGAAGCGAAAGCGGGCTACCCGATGTGCTGTACATCTAAATGGAGCTTCGCGACCAGTGTTACATCATTGGCCATCATTTGCGTCACCAGCAAGCAGGGTTGTCAAACGGATGAGATTGGGCGGACATAAAAGCAAGCTGACAAATGCTGGTCCTCATATTGGACGATCCTTAGTTAGGTGTTATTTGAACTATAAGAAGAGTGGGAAGCCTGAACGTTTGATGTTCTATAAGAATGGTGGATGGTTGGACTTTCCTAAGGATGTTGTTGACGTGGTTAAGAAAGATCTCGAAGTCAAGAAGGCAGCTGTGGAGGTAGAGTTAAATGGCTATCATATCGTGCTAGATTTTTTACATATGTATCAGGTGGACTTGAAAACTGGTTTGCAACAACCTATTGCTTGGATTGATGAGGCAGGGTGCTGCTTTTTCCCTGAAGTCTATGCTGCTTCTGATGAAGAACCTTATAGTTTCTTCAAAGAGGATGGAAAAAGTCACGACTCATGTGAATCTAACGAAATAAAATTACAGTTAGAAATTGAAATAAATGGAGTGGATGAATCCAGGTTGGGGGAGTGTAGTGGGGAGTCCAATGCTTTAGTTAAACATATTCAAATTGATACTAAACAAAACTGCAGTCAATATGATGTAGAAGTTGAAGGTGGCATTAGCAAAATGGACTGCGGAAATGTTGGCGAAGCCATTGAGCAAAATCAAGACATAGGTTTAGATGCTTCTACTGAATCTGTATATGGAAAATTGGATTTGGATTCTGTACAGAAGATGTTTCTTAAGGGAATGAGTAGTTTTGGCAGTACTGGTACTGACATAGTTGAGATTTACCGCTGCTCTGGTTCGTCAATGCAAGTGCGATTGGAGCTATTCCAGAAGCAAGCTGAAATTACAAAAAAAATTCATGGGGATGCTAATGTTCAGTATGCTTGGCTTGCTTCTTCTAAAGGAGAACTATCTACAATGATGGAGTATGGGCTTGGTCATTGTAGACTATCTGTATCTAAATGCATATACGGCATTGGTGTTCATCTTGCAGCTGTTACCTGCCCTGACGCCAGGTTAGTTTGCAGACCTTGAACTATAAAATGTTTGAAATACTACTAATGTTAATGATAACATTATCTATGGCTTAAGTTTGTGTGGGTAAAAGCAAGATGAATAGTAGTGCATGGGCTTGCTTTTTTCAATTTCTAGACTAAGCTGCAAGTCTGGTGAGCAAGTTGATCCTTTATCTTGTAACGAAGTTGGTCGCTAAAATCTATCTTTGCTAAATCTATTCAGTTATATGTTAGAAATATCCTTGTTAGCATTTTCTTTCACTGTCACTCTCACTTTTAATTCATACTCTGTCATCTGCATCGGTCTTTGTTTGTAGTCTACATGATTTGAAAAAGTATTTACATTTTCTTATAAAAATGAAAACTATTTTGCAGACACTAGTAAAAGATGAATATATTCCGCCTTTATGTGACAGAGATGTCAGGGATACTGACCAAAATGCCACTGTTCACCAACTTTTTTATCTAAATGCCACGCGAACAGTGTTATTTCCCAATCTGCCACGGGGGCAAGTTCGCTTCTGACACAAGCGACCTCGGTTTGCTGACGTGTCACATTTTTAGTGGATAACAAATATTAAATTTAAAAAAAAAAAATTCAAAAAAAATGAAGTTCGCCTACCATGTAGGCGAACTTGATTAAAATATTGTTAGAACCGAGGTCGCCTGTGTCAGAAGCGAACTTTGACACCACCAGGGAGCTGACACATCAGCAAACCGAGGTCGCTTGTGTCAGAAGCGAACTTGCTGCGTGGCAGATTGGAAAATAACACTGTTCGCGTGGCATTTAGGTAAAAAAGTTGGTGAACAGTGGCACAATGGTCACTGTTCCGAGATGTCATTTCATTTGTATAAAATTGATCATTTTCTCGTTGAATATTGCCGTATTTCTGTCTACGACAATTGTATGGTTTAATAGTTCCTTATCCAATACTGGTCATAGTGCGTTTTGTGCTAAACTGCTGGAATAATCTTTAATTAGTTTTTATTGCTCACCTTTTACCTTGAGGGTGGAGTTATGAGCATATTTCCTTGTTCTTGATATTTTTCTAATTATCAGTACTGTCAAAAAAAATTTCTTGAGAAACTTGTATTATAATTTTGATGTATTGTTGCATACAAAGTACATTTTTTCCATATTTCTTTTATCATAATGTTTTCTTTACTGCCTACTTTATTATGTTATTATTTGATATTTATTTTCTGGATTGTTCTGTTGTAATGCTTAGAGAAGGATTCAATTTTTCAATCTTTACAGTGCACGATATTGTGATGTTGACGAAAACGGGATTCTGCACTTGGTGTTTTGTCGTGTAATATTGGGGAATGTGGAGCTTCTCCGTCCTGGCACTGGTCAGTTTCATCCCAGTAGTTGTGAATATGATAATGGGGTGGATGACATTGAATGTCCAAGATACTATACTATATGGAATATGAATATGAACACCCACATCTATCCAGAATTCGTTGTTAGTTTCAAGGCCTCTTTGGATGCTGAAGGTATGTTTTTTTTGTTTTGCTATTGACATATGTTTTCCTAGAAAGAATAATTTATACATTTTAGTATTATATAATTAGCATAGTTGTTAGAATCATGTGATTAGGTAAGCCATCGATTCACATCATGTGATGAATGAGAGATGGCTTTGAATCGTGCCATACATGCATAAATCGATGATGCAGAATCACACTGTTGATGTCTATTGTTGATGATGTTACTTTTCTTTCATCAATTCTGATAAAAGAAATTGAAAAGTCAAATAAGCTTAAATTGTTAAATGAAAAGGAACTAAAGCTGCTCTATTGAAAGCATCCTATTTCAGTCCCATTTTCATTCTTATGAAATGGGGGCTTCTCACAGTCACTCACTCTATGCATGTTCTTTGGCTATTCCATTGCTTTATTTTCATTATTCTCAAACAGATATAGTCACTCGTTCTATATGCATTTTATATTGCTATATCGTTGCTTTATTTTGTTCTTTTGTAACATAAGCTTCATGCAGTCACTTTATATGACTCAATTATGACTTTTGACTTATGATTTTATTTTGTAAGACTGATGAAGTGATATTGTTAATTTCTAGCTTAAAATTATCGAGTATTATACATCATTTATATGATATATTTTTCATTGTCTTCAATACAATTTATAATGCACAATTCAAATATTAGTTTCTTCCACGATACCTTGATAATTAGTAGTCAGTAAGTTGATCAAAGGCAAACTAATTGATATTTATGGTTCATTCTTTCAATTCAGATGGAAAAGTTTTAGAGGATTTTAGTATTAGGAATCAGTGTTTCATCCATATATTTTTAGTATCTCCTTGTGTTTGGTCTCTCTCACGTTCAGCAAATATATCAGATAAGTCTGGTTCAGTGAAACTGTATGATTGTTATTCAAGGTTATCAAATCACAAATCGCCAAGCTTATTTTTGAATTGAGAATCATAAATTGTATTAAATCGTAAGATACAAAGACACAATGAAAAGTGGTTTGAAATATGCCATAGAAATTATTCGAATAGTCAGTTGTGCAATTCGAATTGTGTGATTCTAGTAACTATGGGGCCATTCGTTTCTGAATAAAAATTTATTCTTGATCACTAATACATGATGCATTTTTACAGGCCAATTTTGTGGAAGTGAGAGTAAGAATAATGTTTCTGGGGTTAATATGGTCATTCGTGGTCCTCGTGGCCTGTTACAGTCAGACTCTTCTACAGTAGATACTGTAAGTTACTTGATATTTGAGCTTTGTATCTTATGCTTTGCCAATTTTTCTACATAAAGGGCTTTGGTAATACCTATTTTTAACCTTTTATTTTAAACTAAGAATGCTTTTTCAGTTTCTGTTCTCCTTTTTACCTTATATTTAAAATATTTTTCTCACTTTTAATTTTTCTTTCGATATGGAGAAAAATCACGTGGTTGATATATTCTGAAAAAACAGAAGCAGTTAGCATTTGATCTTCCTTTATTTTGTGGAAGAAGTGCCAAGGATGTGATAGCTTCATAACATTCCAGTGAATAGTTTGTCTGAATGGTCTGTTTTTACCCGTGAATCTGTGATCACATAATACTTTTTTTTCCTGGGTTGGGGTAATATGTGATCTTTTTTCGTTATTTGTGATCATGTTATACTTTTTCTTACCCTCTTAGGAATGTAGCTCATTCAGTTATTATTGTTATAATTTTATTTTCTCTGGTGTATTATATGTGAGTAGCCTTCAAGGGCCTACCGGTTGGCCTGTTCAATAAAACATGCCTGGCTCAGGCCTAAATCAGTCTAATAGTCCAAGTTAGGCTCAAAAGATTCTACGTAGGCCTGACTTATTTAGTCCAAAGCCTGGCTTGACGAATTTACACCCCCACGTGAGGTCGGTTACTTGATTAACATATATATTCATGTGTCAATGTACAACTTATCCTCAGGGAAAAGCTGCTAGTGTGGTTGCTAGCACCCCAAAAGCTCCAAAATCCCCTTGGATGCCATTACCTATGGTTTTTGCCGCTATCAGAAACAAGGTTCCTCCCAAGGATATGGGACTGATCATAACACATTATGGACAATTCAAGGTATGTAAAGTAGCTGCACTTGATACTCAACTGTCTTGATTGATGAAATATATTTAATATATCATGCTGTTCTAGTTCAGTCAAAGCAGATATCCCGTGATGATTTCGTGAGGAAGCTGAGGTTGATAGTTGGAGACACTCTGTTGAGAGCTACATTAACAAATCTTCATGTCAAGGTACATACATATATATATATATATTAAATTTAATTTGGTTTTGAAATCTTGTGCATGGTCTTCTGCTGTGATACCCTACTAAAAGAGTTACTTGTTTTTAAGTAAACTAGGTTATAATTTTCATTTTTTTATATATAAATTTTGGAATCTTATGCGCTGTCTTGTGTTGTGTGGTTATACCTCCTAAATGTTTAACTGTCTACTTGCAGATACCATCAAATGGTGAATTGAAAAACTCAAACAGGAAGGAAGGCTGAGGGTCTCTTTCTGTGAGGAGGTGAAGATCTTCGCACTTGGAGTTAACTACTGTCAGATTTTCTATCGTGTTTTTCATTTCCTTGTCATCTTCATTGGACCTGGAACCTACTTGTTATGGAACTTCATTAGAGTTTATTTTGAACCGTCTGTGATCAGATGCATTGTCAAGCGTCATATTTTCTACCTTATATTGGGGTTTCATAATAAAAACCGTTGATTGGATATTCCGTGTTTTTTTCACTTCAAAAATGAGCTCTCACTTCGTACGGTGGATTGGCGGATTGAACTTATTTAAGTAACAAATGGTTTGAAGCATTTTAGGGAGATTTTATCTCTAATGTCCATGTTTATCTCGCATGAAGGTGGCTAGCTTTTGGGCTGGTTGTCTGATTGGAATACAGTTAACGTTGTTTCTGATTTGGTCTGGGAATTGTAATGTTGGATCTTCTAGTGTCTTGTTGAAACAATTATGGGTGATTTTAACTACTACAGAGGTTGGCTGGAGACTGACTCCTTGTGAGGTCAGATTTGTGTTGGGGGGTTGTCTTTCTGCGCATGTGCTCTTGTTTCTTCTACCATTAAACTTGATTGATGTAATGGGCGCTTTCGTGTCCCAATGTTTTAGGCTGACGGGTTTGCTAATTACTCGTGGGTTTGAGAGGGGTTTATATTTTCTCGTTAAACCATCTGACTTTGGTGACTTTCTTAAGATAATCTCGCTATTCTCTTTCTTGTGTAGTCTTGTTCAAGCCCTCTCTAGCATTTAAAAAGGTTCTTATGCTATAACGGAACTATGCATTTGAGCTCCAATATTGTGCTAATGATAGCAACATTCATCATACGGCACCCACGTCTTTTCGTCTCGCTAAAAAAGTTAATTATGTCGTGGATCGTGTAATAGGATGTGTGAGAACTTTTTAGAATATTCAAAACTCCTGTAGTGTTAAAAATTTGATGAATTTTCGTGGCTCACATCGAAAGTCTTGTGGCTGCAAATATTTTCCATTGTCCATTGGGAGCAAGGAATTATAGTCCTGGTAACTCTTTAGACAAGTGTAAAAACATCATCTTCATTTTTGGGGTAGGTGGCTAGAGAAGTATAAAAATGTTTTTGTCGAAAATTGACTATCAAAGTTCTTTTAGGTCATCAAATGATGTAGCTCAGTTGGCGTTGGGAAACTGAGTGGGTGGGGATAAAAGTAAGTATGTGTTTGATCCTTTTCAGTATTGTTTTTGTGAGGGTTTAAATCTTTAATTTCGAGATCTGTTCCGAATCAGACTAATCACGAAGTGATGAATCGATTAAAATATTTCGTAAAGAAAAAAAAAAAAGTCTCCTTCTAGATCCATTTTCCTGTGTTTCTAGAATTAAAGGTCAAGAAAGTCGTTCTGAAGCATTTTTATTTTTGCAATTATATTTTGCTTGTTTCTTCGTTAAGCTTTTGTTGGGATGAGATTCTTGGTTTAACCTCATGATGCTCCAGAAAGCAGGTTGGCATCCATTCATATTGCATGCTGAGTCAAGGAAAATGCCAAGCAGTTTGGACGAAAGGTAGTTTGCTTGCGAATGCTGATTCTAAGTTTTAGAAGGACCTAGCGAAGATTACATCGGCAGCAAATTTAACTTCTGGACCCACGATTGTGTTCCCGATGAAACTCTCTTATCTAAGTCTTTTAAAGCTGATTTCAGGTCTTTAGTTATGAATATTTCATATACAATTGTATGCTTTTACATGAGAAATCAGTTGCATAAGTTAACTTCAGTAGATGAACGTCCTTACAAGGAAGAAACTTTTGATGGTGTGCTTTGGGCAAAACCCCCATCAGGAAGCTGGATCATCAAATTATGTGGGACTTTAACAGAAGTGAGGGGTCTTGAAGGAGTAGGGAATGAGAAAAAGCCCGTCTGTTGAATAGGGTAATGGCAATGCTTACCTTGCAGTTTGGTCTTCTCGAGGGTCATTTAAGAATATGATTCTATAGCTTCACTCAGAATCTGTCAAACTTGCACCAGATGGGAATGACAGACTTGTAACACATAACTTGGGGCTAGTTTTATTAAAGGAGTGAGAGGTTGAATTTTGTTGCATTATAGATTGGTTGGCGAATCATGGCTTATCTTTCCACCCAGGAATACACATTCTACATCAGCCACCAAAGGAGTTACCTTTCTTTGCCCTGGTCCCTTCCTACAAGGAAGAAGAAAAAGGAAAAGGAAAAAGAAAACTCCTACCTATTAGGCACTTACCATTTAGCTCCCCATTTCCCACTCATTTAAACGATCCAGTCCACATCAGTTTAAACGTCGTATGATCAGTTTCACGACCAGACGAGCACTTAATTATGTAGCAACATCCATCGTATAGTAATCGAAACTATAGAGCATTGGTTTTGCCAACTACAATAGCAACTTAAAATCACTGAAGCTGTCTCTCATATTACCATGTGGTAGATAAGCACTTGTATGGACAAATTTCATGTTACTCACTTATTAAAAGAATCATTACTCTGTTCCTAGATTACGTCACCTTCAGTTGATGGATCCCAACCTGGGGGTTTGATGTTTGGCCAATCACCGCGACATCCCAATCTTATGTAGAGGCTTTTTTTATCTGCAACATGACAGAGACGATGTCAATAATAAAAATGTGTAAGCTGCTCACCTTCAATCTAAAAACCCCTCCTCCTTCCACTTGTAAAATCATTTTTAGCTCTTTTCTTATTCCCTTTCCTGCGAATCGAAGCAGTGGTAAAACTGTTCTTTCATGACTGAAAGGTCATGGATTCGAATACAAGAAACGGTCTCTTTGCAATTATGCAAAGGTAAGACTGCGTACAAGGATTGTCTGCATCCCACACTCGCTAGTCAGGTTAAACAATGAGTGATTTTTTTTTTTATTCCCTTCCCTCTCATTAGTACTAAGGAAAGATACTCATTGACCTGCTGCACTCCTCATTTTAAACCTTCCTATTTTCAGTTTTCATTTTCATCCCATAAAATCACACCCTAATCTCAATGAAAAGCAGTTTGCCAGGTTATCAGTCCAAAAATCACGTGTTAAGGTGAACTTAAACTTCAAACAATTTTGACCACTGAAATGAATGACAAATGAATAGAAGTCATTGGATCAAAATGAGAGCATGGAATCCAGTTATAAATTAGCGCAAGTACCTGGAAGTTTCTTGTCTGACAGGATTAACTGTTTTAGGGCACTCAAACATGCCTGTGACACACTTTTGGCATAAGCAGGATCCCAGCCCTGTAGCTTAACAACCACATCTGCATTTGTGTATGCAATTTTGCCATCTATGACATTTTTATGGGTCTCCTCCCTTGCAGAATCTTCATCTGTATTTCAAGCTATTAAAAACCCATTTTTACTGGAAACAACAGGCTGAAGAAATCATGCTAGTGAATATTTTAGGTAGACAAGGGTATGTCTGGGAGTTGGGAGGGGAAGGGTGGGAAAGGAATCAAAAGAAAATAAAGGGAGAGTGAGGGCGGATTATGAAAAGTGAATTCATAAGTTTCCTTCCCTTTGTTTGGATGTTTAAAATCCTCCTAAGTTCTCCACATTGGTGGAACTACAAGATGTTTATAAAGATTAATAAGGGAAGGTCCTCGGGGGTTACATGTCATCTCCCATTTCCTTCCCTTCATTTTACAAAACTCCCAAATAAAGGTGGGGTTTATTTGAAGGGAAATAGTTGTATTATGTTGTAAGAAATTGGTTGTGTCATGATATAGACACAACCAATGTGGACCCCATCATTTTCTTTCCTTTTGTTTTTATTTTAAAAGTGGTGGGGTCCACACTGGTTATGTCTATAGTATGACACAACCAATTTCCTACTACATGATACAACTATTTCGCTTATTTGAAACCAGGACTATTCACGAGAAAAACTTCAATGCATTGGGAGCAATGAACTCTGTGTTTCCTTTTACTAAATAGGTGCTCCGGGTGCATTAAAGTTTTTCTCCCTCTTCACCTCATTTCCTCCTAAATCCCCATCCAAACATACCCTTGGTAGTGGTAAAAGTTTCTTCATGAGTCGAGGCTCGGGTGACTGATCTCTATTTTAGTTCCAAGTCATGAATAAATTTGAAGGTTCAAAACAAGGTTGGAATGGAGACATGTGCGGTAAAAAGCAACCAAGAATTGATCAACAAAAATCACCTATTGCTTCAGTCTGTGACAACCAAACAGTAAATCCTGCATACAGATGCCGCCATTTATCAGCTCTTCTAGCAGCACCCTGTTGCCCTCCCAATGTTGCAACTACTGCCCTCACATGACTGGCATACCATTACCATTAAGTTGGAAATAAATGAGTTAGTTCCCGATCAACAAAAATTATCCAGAAAATGAAATGAAGCGATTGACGTACCTACTTATGCTTTCAAATACAGTGCTTTCTGCTTCTGCTACAGAGTCATAACCTTCAGCAAGCACCCCTGCAATTGATTACACTTGTTAATGCACTGCAAAATATGGTATTTATGTCACTTCAAGTACTCAGATGCATACACTTGTGGTAGCCATATCCTTTAATATTAAAATAACTAAATAAGATGCATCACCACAGTGATATCTTTCAGGGTGAGGGGTTTGACTAAAGAAAACTGACGGCTGACTATAAAATACATAAATTGCAGCAAGGATAATGGGGGGAAAAGGAGAAAGATAGTGTGCAAGGATATAGTGAATTTGTATATATGAGATATGTACTTGAGAACAACGGAAGCTTCAAACAAATACAACTGTTTCATTTTACCAAATAAAAAAAAAAAAAAAATACAACTGTTTCAGTGGACAAGATTATAAAGCTAGAATTTGTTTTCTCCCTTTGTAACATATATTTGTCAATGGAAGCAACAAACAAAAAATGGCTACAAAATGGTAGTATCAGAACTCAGCAGCTTCCATAAGATGCTGATGATTCATACGCTTAAGCAGAATGAGCACACTCCTTTGGTTTCATCCACCAGAGTAGGTAGTACCTAAAACTAATGTAATACTATCTTGTAAGACATCACTGGAGGCACTCCTTAGATTGATCCTAGAGCTCTATTAGTAGCATTAAAGATGCTAATATTGATAACAATACATAGTATTAGTATACAGATATTTGATGTCTCAATTATATGTTTGCCAAAACCCTGCCGCACGGGAGGGAAAAGAGCAAGCTTTGACAACAAGAAGCAAGGTATAGCAAAGACACTCACATGAATCCACGGTTTGCTTGGAATATGTTTCCAGTAACTCTTTTGTAGTAAGTGGCGTGTACCTGAGAAGAATATCAAGCACTAGAATTTATCAGCCATTGATGAAATTTCCAAATCAATCATAAAGTGCATCCCTTTATATAATTATTGCTCCATAAAAGCTAATTTAAGTAACCAGAATTTTGAATATAGCTATAGCTGGGTATGCAGCATGATAATTGATATATCATATATGTGATATTGGAAATAACGCTCATATGTGATTGAGTTGTAGGAATATTGATAAATAGAATTACAAATGAACTTATGGTACCCAAGACCAGTTGCTAGCTCTTGAGCCACTTTCTGGTTGATTTCAGTTGAATCACCAACAAGATAGATTGATGCTCCTTTCAGAAGTTGTGTAGATCCTGCAGTAAGTGATTCCCATGACTCCATGATGTCAGGCCATTTCAAATCAGGATCCTGTTTCTTGAAGTTCACAACAAGTTGATCATCATCTATATACCTGTCCAAATCAGACCATTCAACTAAGAAAGCAAAGGCTTGAACCCAAATACTAATTTTTAATTTTTTTTTTAATTTCAAAGAAAAAATGTCATTTCAATTGCACAAACCATATTGTTTCAGCGGGTTTAATCTTGCCAAAAAGAGGATTAGTTTCTATCAGTGTGATGGGAGATCCTTGCCGAAACACTTTAACAGCTAAAGATGTATCGTTTGTATCAACCGAGATGTCTCTTGTGCTTCGGATATCCAACCCTCCTATATGTAATCTTAACTCCACCTCCGAAGAACAATCAGAAAACTGCAATTTTTTCATCAGATATAATCAAACTCAACTAGTAAAAGAGAAAGACTTTAGAATAAGAACAATATGTGTCTTTGCAATTTGAACATGGGAAATGGTTGGGCACAGATAAAACTAATTAACTGACATGGCTTTAGTCATAAACAAGTCATATCCTAGTCACAAGTCAACTACCAATTTTCTTTATCTGTGGTACCTCGTAGGTTGTGGTGGAAAGGGGAGCGGTTGAGGAACACTTGCAGGAACCGAGACTAGGATAGTATTTGCGAGATAACAAAGAAGAAAAAGGACGAAGAGAGAATGCACGGAGAGACACCACATTTGGTTTTAAAACTGAGAATTCGAGGCTTGTGGTTGTGGGGTTTCGTGAGAGAAAGCAGAGACCAGCTGGAGCAGCTGCCATTCCTACAATAGATAGAGATAACAATATGATGCAGCTCCCACCTCCCAGGTAGCAACTAGCAACGTTAATTTTTGCAAAATTGGTTCCCTTTTTTTTTTTTTTCCCCCTTGGACTTGGGCCTCCGTGAGTGACCCAATGCTCAAATACACCAAACATTCTCACATCCCCGTATCAGCGTAGTGTTTTTGATAATTGAAAATATTCAATTTGATAAGCTTGTAACTGGATCTTATATTTAGACATCAGATAAATCAATAATTTACGGAAATTCTTCTAATCAAAATTGATATTAGATCAATTCGTAACAAGAGCAAGAGAAGATGACCAACATGCGTTGATTTCTCTCATGTTTTCACAAATATAATCATGAGTAATGTTGTTGAGATATATAGTCTCACATTGATTGTGTGGGCAACTAATGTGGCCTTTATAAGGCCTTGATCACTCTCACCATTTGAGCTAGCTTTTGGGGTTGTGTATCCCAAGGTTCTTTACATGGTATCAGAGCTTGAGTGACTATAAGGTCACAAGTTCGATCTCTTCTCACGGCCCCCCACTCTCAAGTGGAATTAAAATAAAAAGCACAAAAAGGTAAACCAAAAATTGGGCTTGTGCAATATCCACACTTCAAGCCCAAAGGGCTCTCATGTGAGGGGAAAATTGGGCTTGTGCAATATCCACACTTCAAGCCCAAAGGGCTCTCGTGTGAGGGGGCGTGTTGAGATATATAGTCCCATATTGATTGTGTGGGCAACTAATGTGGCCTTTATAAAGCCTTGAGCACTCTCACCCTTTGAGCTAGCTGTTGAGGTGGTGTATCCCAAGGTTCTTTACATGGTATCAGAGCTTGAGTGACTATAAGGTCGGTCACAAGTTCGATCCTCACCGTCCCCCACTTTAAAGTGGAATTAAAATAAAAAGCGCAAGTAATGTGGAGTTTATAAGGTTTTGGGCACTCCCACCCGTTGAGCTAGCTTTTGGGATGGTGTATCCCAAGGTTCTTTACCAATGTAGCGTACATGTTAATAATTTCAGTTGATGAATCCAGCAATATTCTAAATTCTACTTTTTATTATTAATTACGATTATGTTGTTTCAAACGTTGGCCCAAATTCGAAATCGAGTATTTGAAATAAGAAATATATTTTCCCCAACCCTTAGATTAACTATGAGTTTCTAGTATTTTTATCTAATTCTTCAAATCAATTTTTAGTAGTCTCTCTTATTTATGTCAAGTCTTTCTTATTTATGTCATTTTCTTTTCATTCTTTTTACTTAGTCACAGGTATGGTCATAACTCTTTTCTTTTTTTGGGCATTATAATCATCATTCATGTCTTTTGTTTTTTGGGCTAAAACATACACATTTTTTCCTTAATGGTTCCTATATAAAATCTGCCAAGACTTGGGCCATGTTTGTTGGGCTCAAGGGCTTTGTCTATCTAATACACAATTATGTGTAGGATAGGAGGCTGAGATACTCCTTTTTATGAATTACATTGTGGACAGTACTGTCCAGTACATAAGGAAAATTCTATTAAACGTTTTCCCTTCTTATTATTATTCGACTTCGAAATAGTAATATTAATATATCTTGAGCACTCGCGATGACGTGATGTTTATACATTTCAAGCATGTTAGATTGGGGATTCTTTATTTTTGAAAGTCAATTTTTAATGGCATGGCAGTTTCCCCCCCCTGACTAAATGAATATAACAAGAATAATAAAAAACGATGTGAACATTTTTTTATAATTATTCTTCCCTTTTAATTTTTTTGCTAGATACTTCTTGTCATGTTACTTTATTCCTTCTTCCTCTCGACAGAGACTGTATTCTCCCACAAATAATATTTTGTTGATCCAGTCTGTGAACTGCTTATTCCCTTTCTCATTATATAATTCTATTACGGGTGTACATTTTTATGTATGTTAATCCAATAATCCATCTTATTTTTCAATTTTATTTAAAAAAGAAATACCATTCCCATTCATAATATAGATTATCTCAATTGGAATTTGGAAGGCACATAACCAACAAAATAGAGAAGCTAATTAACGTTATCTTGCAGTGGAAATATATCCCACTATGCAACTGGGTAGTAATGGGTCAATTGTATATTTTATGAGTTTTAAAAGAAAAGGTTGTCACGTACGAAGCATACGTCTATTTTTAATTAATGGCACATTACATTATTGATATATTGGACCCATTTTGTGTACGTCTACGGACTACGGTCGCACTGAAATACGGAGCAAATTTATTAAATTTTGTCTTGTGAAGCAACTATACTGAATTATATTAATCACATAGACAAAAGAGTGCAGACTGCAAAAACTTAATGAACCAAAAAAAGAGATGTTTAGATGGGAAAATAAAAAAATACATTAAAAAAGAAATAGCCCGAAAGTCATTGCAAGAAACAAATTATAAGTGTTAAGGAAATCTAGTAAAGTTTAATAAAAGAGATAATGAATCATAGGAATTTTTTTTTAAATGGTCCACACACAATCACTGCCATGCATGTCTGAAATCCCTTTGAAATCTTCTTGTTAACAGCTTAGGGTTCTCTTTAGTCAGTCAGTTATGAACAATATAAAAGAACAGTGGTCCACATGTGTATATATATATGAAAGTATATATAAAAATCTAAAAGAGAGAAAAAGTAGATTGCTATATATTACATGGGCAAAGCATTCTTGTCACTGTTGTCCCACAACAGAGATAAAATGTTTCAGCAAACGTCACATCATGCTATGGCCAAAAGCATTAAAAGGAAGTAATTATGAATGAATGATTCACAGTTCAGACACTTTCGGATAAAGATAAAGTCATACTGACGCTGTCTCCATGACAACTTTCGTCGCCACCCACCCCTCAACTTTCAGTAATACCAAAGAAACCCCTAGCCCATGTTATAATACTTTTTTTTAAGAAAGAGTAAAGATTATTAGTCCTACATGAGATTATTAATTGTCAAGGATACGTTGACATATATTTTTCAAGAAGATATATTTGGAATTCCTCTTTTAATCGCATATATAAGATGTCAATATTTTATGGTTAAATAAGGATTGAGTTTTTTTTTTCTTTTTTTTTTTAACGTGAGAATAACTGAATAATTAAGAAATAAGAGGCAATAGCTTGTTAGCTAATGGCGGAGCCGAGCTCAAATTTGAGCCAGTCAAAAAATTATATGTGTATTTATTTTTTTAATTTTAGTTAATTTATATCATAATATATTTAAATTATATTAAATACATAATATTTGAGCGAGCAGCACTAAGAAGAATTATAATTTTATTAAATATTTTTTAATTTTACTAAAAATAATTTATTTATTTTATAAAAGTGAAAAGTAGACACATAACCTAATACAACTTACCCAAAATCTTTCACCAAAAATATTTTGAATTTTACATGGGGGCAAATTACAAATTGTAGCCCGGGCCAAATTACAATTTTAATCCGAGTCAGATTATAATTAATTATAAATTATATATAATAGATATAATTTGTTAAAGTTTAGTCCAGGCCGAGGCCACACCCACATTACAGATGGCTCCGCCAATGTTGTTAGTCCGACCCAATTTTCATAGATATGACTTTTGTCAGGGTTTTCTAAGATTATTCTGAATATATGGCATGCATAGTTGATCAAGAATTAATTAGATAACTAAACCTTTTTTCATGATAGAGTATGTCGGGATGGAGCTTTTATGAGCAAAAGAAGGGAGAACAATTTTTTATTCTTGAATTAAAAGAGTTATATAGTGTTTATAAAAATGAAGAAGGGATGATTGAAATGTTTTGTCATAATTTATCATTTTGTTTCTTTCAATCTATGTTTTTTTGAGTTGGACACTATTATCTTGAAATGAAAAGTTTATCCTTAATTTTTTTTTCTGTCTTCCGATACGCATTATATCTCAAATAGGGATGGCTGTGAATTTAATTTGGCTCGATGACCTATAACTCCACTAAACCAATATGAAAAATATAGATTGAGTTGGACAATTGATTTGATTTCTATTCAAATCCAATCAGCCCAATCTCAATAAGTACTGATCTGGAATTGGATATAATACAATAGGCCCACCAAGGCTAAAACCCAAAGATTAAGGCCCAAAAATATAGGGCCCGAATAGTGCGCGATATCTCCATCGCGCGTAAAGAATCAGGGGGCGCGATGGCTTTATCGCGCCTCAACTGCCTTTAACATGACTTCAGAGTTAAGGAACTGATCAATAATACGAATAAGGAGCTACCGCGCCACAGAACTAATACACGAAGTACAACTCCAGTTTGCCACCACTCTACCAAGATAGCCTGACATATAGAGATAAGGCCAAAAATGCACCAGCTGAATCTGCAGCCCATAAACAGCCAAATAAAAGACATACCGCCTACCGAAGGCGACATCAGATTCACTATATAAACAAAGGGTATATACCTAGGTATGATCATCTAATTCAGTAAGAATACAACATAAGTCTAACTTTGATACCGACTTGAGCGTCAGAGTATCATTGCAGGTACCCACCCCAGTCGGAGTCATTGCGCCAAAGAAGAATCATATCAATCTCTCCATTAACAGCCATCAACAGCCCAAGAAGTAAATAACCCAATCCAAAATCTTCTCTCTTCAACTATGTGTGATTAGGCCCGATACATATTGGTTTGATCAAGTACAAAGATCGAATTTTGAATTTTTCAATTGTACGAAATCCAAACCAACCTAAATTCCATAAATGTTTAAATTTAAAATTATCTTAATAGAAAAACTATTATTGTTTACCAAAAAAAAAACTATTATTTTGTATAACTTTTAATATAAAATGGTGTTATTTCACTTTACTTGAATTAGCCTAATCATAATTGAGTTGTTTTGATAGAAAAAAGATATTGTGAACTCAACTTAATTTAATCTGAATAAATTTAGTTAATTCATTTTTTATTTTTATTTCGTTTAAAACCTTTTCAATGTAACCAATGATCATAGTTAGTCCCAAACATTTTAGGTCCATTG